GCAGCAATAAGCTGTAATCTGAGAAAATGCCAAAATCAGCATTGCTCCAAATCACACTTTCTCGATTTTCAAGGCATGACTTCGAAAACCGTTTTTTATGAAAAAACAGTTCCAAACAAACAGATGCTGATGTATCATCGTTTTCTAGAGCAACGACATCGATGCCAAACGGATGATTAAGTGTTTTGACTTTACCTTCTAAAAATCCCATTTGGTTGGTTAGTGTTAAGTACAATTGTTTAGACACATAGAGGTATTGGGAGGAAGCATAAAAAAGATGTTTCTTTTTCCTCCAATAGTGTCATTTTCACTTTGGGCGTCCTATGTGGTGCTTAGTGGTGTCTAGGTAGCGATGCATATGTATTCGAACTGCAATAAAATATTATTCTTTGTATTGTGTGTTATTAAAACATCACATATGTTATTTGTGAGGGATATGCATTTATTTGTTATTTGTATGTTTATTTATTTATCTATTACACTAATATATATGATGGAGGAAGATTTGGCCCAATTCTTTGGCCATGCGATACGTGGAAGCAATCGAGAATGACCTGGCAGAAGAACCAACTCGGCACGGCAGCGGGCCCACAACCCGAGCTCCGAGAAAGGGAGTCCCGAGCTCCCCCAAGAAAGGAACTAGCGACCCAAGCTCCCCAAGGAAGGACCCGAGCTCTCCCTTGGAGGTCCTGAGCCTTACAAGGAGCACAAAGGGCAAAAACCCGAGTTGACCCACCCCGGGGTAGTTCGGGCCACACTTCTATCCGAACTCAAGACTTCACCTCGCACACCACCTCGGCTCCAAGTCGCCTGACTGAACAACCGTACCTGATGCCCAGGAAGCCCGTACACGGAGGCGGCGCGCCTGACTAATTAGAGGTCCGACACATGACAACCGCCCTCCAACGGCCACCTGCCACCGCCATCTCAGACGTAGCAGAGACGGCCCTGACAAGGACAGTGGCGGTTATGACACCCGAACTGGCGTCTCACAGAAATGATGACACCCCATCTGGCGGAGGTGATGATGCCCGATTTGGCAGAGGTATGGGAGTGAGTGTACAGGGTGATTATAAAAGGCCCCCATCTCCCAAAGAAGGAGGTAGGTGATTCTTGCGCTTTCTGGTCTTGAAGTTCTTCATTCCCCATGCATTCTCAAGAGCACTAACTTGAACTTCGGAGTGTTCCAACCGGGTTCCTCCCTGGAAATCTCCGTTCTCTTCCTTGTTTCAGGCATCTCCAATTCCATCAGAGGCGAAGTAACCGATAGCTAGGATCGACTGGATTGCGCATCATCAAAATCAAATCAAGAATCTACACTAGGGAACAAGGGATCAAAGCCCACAGGAAAAATTATTAATAATGCATGGCACTTAATATAAAAAAATATAATAAAAAACCCACTAGTTGACAGCTTGAGGAGGGGATCTCATGATTTTTTCTTTTGGTAGAATGAGGCAAGTGTTTTTCACCCATAACTTTCCCCTTTACCCTTTTTCCCCCTTAATTGCTGGTTGTGGGACTTAATTTCGCGTCAATGCTGGAACAACCTAACTAGCACACCAACGAGCCAGCCCTCGGTTGGTTAAGGGGATCTCATGATTGAACCTAGGGAAAACACCCCCTCCCCCTTTAAATCATGTTTGGGTGGGCCCTAAATATATGAATCCCGGATTCAATCAGTGTAATACCCGTTCGAACAACCATTATAGCCTTGCATTAGGAATATCTCCCCATAAAATAAAGCACATAAGTACGAAGATGTTCCCCATACAATGCTGTAAAGGCTGTTTGAACGGTGTTTGAACAAGACTTGCACTGACTGAAGCCCCATCGAAATATATGCACCAATAAAAATATTTTGAACCTACGCTYAGTTTTGAAAGAGTATACAAACAAATATGTACAGTGCAAACACCATCTTTCATACATGGGTGTTCTACAAACATGAATGATTTTTTTTTTTAATTTTAAAATTGTCATACCTGAAAAAAAATGAAACACATTCTAGATCCTTTTTTTGCCTTGAGGATCTAAAACAGGTTGGTTTTGTTTCAAGAAACCATTCATGCTTTTTAAAACCATAAATATAATGGTATTTAAAATAAAATGAAACATAACATTAAAGAGGCGTTTTACGACATGATTTTTTGTTTTCGTTTGTTTTTTGGAATCACTACAAAAAAAAAACAAAAAAACAAAAACAAAAAAAAACATGCATGTTTTTGAACGAGTTCAAATCAGCCCTCCACAAGACTGTCCCCCACAACATCCCACAACACATCCCCACCATGTATTGGGAACATCTCCCGATGATAATATCCGGAATGATGATGTCATCATCGGGAGGTGTTCCCAATATACGGCGAGGATGTGCTGTGGGACATTGTGGGGGACTGATTCGATCTGGTTCTTGAACTATGTTTTAGTTTTCAAAGGGAAAATTGAATTGTTTTTTTTTTAAAAAAAAAACAATATATGTTTTTGAAACCAACAAATGGTTTTTAAAACAAAAACAAAATTTCAAGTACAAAAATTATATGATTTATAGAATATGATGTTAAATAATCTGGTGAAAAATGTTTTTAAAATCAGATTCATTAATATATTTTGGGTTTCAATTTTGAAAACAAAAAAAACACATACACAACCAAGAACATGTTTCCTATGTTTTTGTTTTAAGAAATAATTAGTTTTCAAACAATATGATTTTGATTTGTTTTTGGAACTTAAAAACAAGAAAAACAATTCACGTTGTAGAACGCCCCCTAAATTGCCAAATTTGCACTAGTACAAATGCATGGAAGTGCAAATAAAAAATGCAAATTCTCATTTAATTTTGTTTTGGATTTTAATTTATTCTGCTTCATGTCTTAATTTACTTCACTTGTAATGCAATCAAACAAAATAAGCTAAAATTTGAAACAAAAATAGATAAAAAATTATACTCAAATCATTTGCACTACCATACTTTTGCATCAATACAAATTTATTTGCATTGCAACCAAACACAACCATATTCAGTATTGGAAACAAAAAACATATATAAAACCTTAAACGGGATCACTTTATTTTCAAACAATATCATTAGACCTGTTCATGGGCCGGGTAGCTCGACCCTCGGACGAGCTTGAACATCATTTTTAGCTCGGGGGCTTGACCTCGGGCCTAAAAGCTTGGCTTGATTATTTTTTGGGTTGGGCTCAGGATTTGTCAAAAAGGCCCTACCCAAGCCCGGCCCGACCCGACTTTTTATAATTTCTAAACCCTAAATCCCTAACTCGACTGACCCTTTCCCAATTTCCCTCTTTTTATTCATCGATCTAACGTCTCAATTCTCACTCTCAGAGTCTCAGTTCTCACTCTTAGAGGCGAACTCAGGCACCGACGCCACCAACAAACTAGGTCCTCTCTCTCTCTATGTTAGTTTTTGTTCTGTTCTCTCTCTATTATTTTTGGTTCTATTCTCCGAACAGATTTGAATCAAGTTTTTGTTCTCTTAGTTTGTAATAGAGATTCATTAGTTTGTTTGAACAGATTTGAATCAAGTTTTAGTTTTGTTAGTTTTTAATTTGAACAGATTTGTGATAAAGATTTCTTAGTTTGTCCGAATAGATTTGTAATAGAGATTCAAATTTTATACAAGTAATCTTTAATTCATTTTGTTCATAAAGTATAATATTAAAATGATTTTTAATTCATTTTATTAATGATATATGAATATTTTGATAATTTTTGGTATAATTTGTACATGGGTAAATCTCTTAAACTACCCCTACTATTCATGAAATTGATACACGGTACCCTTACTGTTTAGCTATTGTCTTGCAGTACCCTTAAGTATTTTGACAATTGTCGTTGTTGTTAAGTACTAACGGAAGGAAACAAAATGTCAAATTTGCTCTCCATTATTTCTTAAATTTCATCCCCTCTTCTTTTTCTCTTTCTCCTCCTTCCTCTGCTTATCCTTCATCCATCTTCATCTCTGTTCATCGTCTTCTCAACAATGAACAGAGAACTACCATTGACATCATCGTAGCTGAAAATGACAGTGGTTGCGATGGCGGCAGAGAGACAGGGAGTGAAACGGTTGTAGAGTGATTCGCTGTAGCTGCCGCTGGGGAGAGGGACAGTGAAGAAGAAGGGAGAAGGACAAAGGGCAAATTTGGGTTTTGAAGAAAATTTATACATCACGTGATGTCACGTGTGTATGAATTTTGATGGAACATTAACGGACGCAGGGGTAAAGCTAGTCAATTGTAAGAAAACTAAGGATACCACAAGATAATGTATGTGTTTGGTTTCGTTTATGTTTATTAAATAAACATTTGTACTTTATTTACTGGTAAAACCGAGAAATACAATAATTGCAATTGTTTATGACAGCTAGGTACCACTTCAATGAATAAATGCTTGGCCGTTTATGAAAGATTCAAAAAATAACTTTTACACACGGTTAACATGCACATAAACCAAAGTTTACTTTTACATTTTTTATGTATACAGAAAAGCAAGAGAAAAAATGCTGAGATGGTGCCTATATGAAACACCCTGAATAGCTAAACATTAAACACTAAGGATACCGTGTATCAATTTCGTGAACACTAGGGATAGTTTAAGAAATTTACCCTTTATTTATACTATATAATATTTGATTATAATCGCTAGATATCATATGCATATGATTTGATYTGAATTACAATATAAATAAATGGATCGCAGCCCCATCCTACAGTAGTTTCTTACTTTTTTTTTTTTTTTTCTGTTTTTCAGTTTTGTAATTAACCCTCTTGGTCGTGGCATATTCGTAATTCCAATGGGAAATATAAGAAAAAAAAAGAGTAATAACTAATAAAAAGTTAGAAACGAGAGCGAGAGCACGAGAGCCAGAGAGAGAGAGAAAGGCGCTCCACTTCAGCACACATCAGCAGTGTGGTCCAGCAAACAGTTCACAGAAAGTTTCTTTTCATTCCGTTTGTACTGTTGACCGTGACTTTACATTTTTTGTCGTCTTTCTCCGCGATCTCACTGAAGTGAAAATGTTCTAGTTCCGTAATTCAAAGCGGACAATCTTTTCTATTCATCTCTCAGTAACTCGAAAACAGTGAGAGAAAGATGATTCACCAATTGCAGAGCTCTCACTCATGGAATTCACCTCGAATTTTGAGGCCCGGCAAGAGTTCTACGAAGAGGTCTTCGGTCTTCCTCTTCTTCGTTTTTCTTGTCTCTAGAATTTTAATTCAATGTTCTTTTTCTTGGTGCAAATTCAATGTGTTTGAAGTTTATTCATACGTTTTTTAAATTTCTTAAAATTTTGTAGTTATTTAAGTGGAACTTGCGGAAGTTACAACATTGTTGAGTTAATCTCTTCGTCTTATTATTTGCCATTAGAAAAAATCTAGCTTATGGTGATGTTTGAATTACAATTAATGAAGGCCCCACTTGATGGTTAGATTGATAAAGTTTTGATACTTTAAGCTGAATAAGGAGGGAATTTCAAGTCAATCTTGAAAGCTTCAATTCACAAATTGCTGTTAATGGGAAGGAACGTTTTCTTTTTCAGTAATCTATTGTTACATTTCATACAAGATTCTTTGAAGACTGTAAAATGGTTGCTAGCGTGCTACTTGTTCTGATCTGGACTTGCTGCAACTCATTCTGAATTGGACTGAAAACCTCAGTCTTTCGTGTTTGTATTATGCAGCGGACCATGTCGATAGGTATTTGAGCATACCCAAATTGAAGTGATATTATACTTGAAGCTGAATGCTGCATCGACCTAAATACAGTTTTTTATTTTTCAGTCAATTATAAAAGCTTCATTATTTTGCTATATGAAACATTGCAAATTTTAGTGGTTATATTAAAGATGGTATGACTTGCTACTAAGCAGAAAAGACCAGGAAATTAAAGTCCTTATCCATGCTTTGGGTCTTGGAATTCGTTAATTATTACTGATATTTGTTTTCTGATGTTACTTAGTGGTGATATTGGGATTTCCTTAAATACGAGCCTAAGAAATATGTTGTAAGTTACTAATACTGTCTTCGACCTGTGTATATTGCAAGATGATCTCTGTTAGGTACCTGTTAAAGATGTTAACTGTCCTAGGCTCCTAGTTTTCTATACAGGCAATCATCATGCTCTACTATTCATAGACAACTAACACCCTTATCATGATTATTGGGATTTCCTTAATACGAGCCTAAGAAATATGTTGGGTGTTACTAATACTATCTTCGACCTGTGTATATTGCAAGATGAGCTCTGTTAGGTGCCTGTTAAAGATGTCAACTGTCCTAGGCTCCTAGTTTGCAATACAGGCAATCATCATGCTCTACCATTCATAGACAACTAGCACCCTTATCATGATTAGTTGTGGTATGAGAGAAGATAACTTGCTTGTTTGGACATTGGAGCTATTTCACACCGTTTTTATTGTTGTTTAATGGAAGTACTAGAGATTCAGATTCAAAAACCTTTGTAAGACTTGCAAGTGGATGCCTTTTTAAGCTTCCAAAATTTTATTAACTATTTATACATTGTTACACATTCATCAATGATATTCCCAGATGCTGTATTTGTATAATTTAGGTCCTGAATTTCATTGGGACACTGGAGCTTCAAGTTATGATATTGATTTTTTTTAATTTTGTTTCCAGAAATTTAAGGTTGTATTGTTGTTGGTGGATCCAGTCTCCAGCTTTACATGCTGAATCTTTTTGGAGAGTAAGTGGAGGTGAGTTCAAACTGTATCACTTAGAAAACATGGAATTAGTCTTTATTTCTGTAGCATTCCATGGTTGAAAATGCACTTTTATTCTATTATACTCTGGCTTGGTGAGCTTGTTTCTGACAATTTTTGTGATTGGTTTGACTGTAACAAAGTATGACAGATTTGGCATGTGGTCCTTGGCATCAAGATTTTCCAAATTTTAAATGAGATGAGTTAAAAAAAGTTTTGAGAAGATTTTTGTTGTAGTGGAGACTGCATTGGTAAACTTATTCAAAAAAGCAGTATTTGTTTCAAGTGTCCATCATCATTTTGAAAAACATTTGTGAAATCACTAGTGTAAGACAGCTTTGCTGATGTACCAAATGGATTATGAAAGTATGGATTTAATGGGCCAAGAGGCTAGGCTTTAGAAGTTAGAACATTAACATGAACCATCCACCAGTAACAATTCATGATTCACCCTCCACCTCTACTTGATCAATACTCATTGAAAACATTAAACCAAGGCCTTGCGGTAGTTCCCAAATCTGAGATCTGAACAGAGGAGAACCTCTCTCTTGAGCTACTAAGTTATTTGGAAAGGTTGGAGATACTTTACTACTAAGATATTTGGAAAATATAGAGAAATTAGGGAAAGATTACTAAGGCTGTGTTTGGGGGGCTTCTAAAAGTGCTTCTGTGGCTTATTGCATCTAGGAAGCTAAGAGCACCCAAAAAATATGTTTGGTAAAAAAGCCAGAGATGGCTTATAGAAGCCATTTCACAGAAGTAAAAAAAAAGGCTTATAGCTTGTGCATTTCTGGGAAGCAGTTTTTATAACGAAATATCTGATTGAATAAGTTCCTCACCAAACACCCAAAAAGTACTTCTCTAACCAGTGCTTCGGCTGCATTTTGCAAGGCTTCTAATAAGCGCCTGTGGGGCTCATTGCGTTCAAGAAGCCAAAAGCGCCCAAAAATAACGCTTGGTGAAAAATCTGTAAATGGTATTTTTCCAGATCTAAAAGCCTGTTCAAAAAGGCCAAAAAAGACTTATGGCTTTTTACATTTATGAGAAGCACATTTTTTTACGAAAAGCGGACCACCACCAAACTCTAGAACAGTGCTTATCTTATAAGTGCTTATTTCAAAGTATTTATTAGAAAACCTGTTTAGAGAGGAAAAGTCCCCCACCCCCACCCCCAATGCAGCCTAAAATCATAAAATTTGTTAATGAAACTTCAGGAATTGTTACAAGAAGTATGGTTGCACATTTAAGATTCAAAATCCATAAGAAACAACTTTCTATGGAGGGGTTGAAGGGAGGAAAAGAAGTATCGTTTAGTCAACTGGAGTAAAGTAAGTAAAAAAAACAGAGAGGGATTTAGGAGGTTGAATCATGTAAAAATTGCGTTGCTCAGAAAATGCTTCTGGAGGTTTGGTGGCCAACAAGATGGGCTATGGAGAAGAGTGATTTTGGCTGAGTATGGTTCTAGGAATTTGGGGTGGGATCTGGATGTCTCTAACCAATCTTATGTGTGTTCAATGTGGAAGGGTATTCAAAGATCCTACAGCATGTTCTCCAAAGGTGTAGGACTCAAGATAGGTGATACAATCCTTGTTAAGTTTTGAAGGGAAAATGTGATTTGGACACTGATAAAGCAGTGTTTTCAACCCGCTATTGACCCGGACGGTTGAACTGTTTAAACTGTTGCCCAGTCAAGATTTTGTGTCCGGTTTGCATGAAACCCACCATTTGGTCAAAAACCGTTCGACCTGGTCAATAGGTCACGGGCTGCACACTCAATGTATATGCAAACTTTTGAAAGCCATAACTTTGCACTCAGATGTCTGATTGGGGTGATCTTTTTTTTTTTTATTAATTTTGGATAACTTTTCGAGGTCTATGCATCCTAGGGAGCTAAAGGTGCCTTGCCTCGCTAATTTCACCAAAAATACCCTTTTTTGGGCATCAAATCGCAAATTTTAGCATTTTTTACAAATAAAAAATTAAAAACTGAATTAAAAATATAAATTATACATAAAATAATATTTATATATATTACATCTAAAAAATAAATACATTTATATATATTACATCTAAAAATAAAAAGCATTTTTTATCAGTAAATTACATGTTTATACATACCTATACACATATATATACATATGCTGACATGGCATGGTCTGATCCGTTCAATCCAGACGGTCAAACTGGTGACCCATGACCCAAAGGCAGAAACGGTTCAGCCTTTGGGTCGGTTTTTAAAACATTGTGATAAAGTGGCTTGGGTGGCTGATTACTTGAAAATATAGGAGGGAAATGTGGTTTCAACACCTCAGTTTGGAAGAAATGACTGTGAGATGGATTCTGTGGTGGAGTTGTTGCATTTGCTGTACAGCACACAGGTAGATGTTAGCAGAACTAATAGAAGAATCTGGGAGTGGGAAAAGTCGGGCAGCTTCACTATGAGATCTCTCCCCAACTTTATAGCAAGTTCTGAGGATCAATCTGTACTAGTTAATATTATTTGGTGCAACACCCATTCCTCGTAGAGTTGCCTTCTTTGTATGGTCTGCATATTTGAACAGGCAAGAGACAATCTGATGGGGAAGGGGCATAGTGGTAGATTCCCCTAATTGTGTGCTGTGTGATGATATTTGGAATCTGTAAATCATTTATTGTTGCATTATGGCTTCACAAATGAACCATGGTCCAGAACTTTGGGATTGTTTTCAGTAAGTAGCTTCTGCCCGGAATCTGTTGTGGAATTTGTAAAAGGCTGGAGGATCCAAGGCTTGAGGAAGAGAGGGAGGTTGGTTTGGAGCATTGTTCCAGCAGTGGTCTTCTGGTGTATTTGGCACTTGGCAGGAGAGAAATGCTGGGATATTCAAGAACAGGGGAGGCTATCCAGATTCTCTATTCCAAAAGAATTTGGGGAAGATGTTTTGTTGGCTGGCTGTTCAAAGATAGAAACTATAATGCCTTTTTTTTTGTGCATGAGAATATTTTTGTAAAGCAGGGTTTGGGTTTATAGAGCTACTTGGGTAGCTGTTGTACATTCCCTGTGTACAGTCGTTTTGTTGTACAGGGATACTTTTGTTTTCTTAATGGAATCCATACTTTCCCTTTTCTCAAAAAATATATATTAAATAAGAGAGACTTAAATAGGTATACTGATTACTGAAATCATTTAGTTCATTACCATCAAAGAAACATGTATTCAGAATCAAGAGTTATACACTATATGCATTTAAGAACATGAATAATCAAGTAAAGCTCTTCTTTTTTGATATATTCCTTGATAGTCAGTAGACTCAATACCACATGGGGTTTTGAGGAGGCTCAAGCCCATTTTCATGAGCATTGTGGCCACAGTATTGTGCATCAATATAATTATAGTACATGTCCAACTATGCCAGTTCTCTAAAAATAAAAAAGTCATCTCTCTCTCTCTCTCTAAGTAATTTTCTCTTCTGTATGTATGTCATTCACTTTCCAAGATGAAATTTCTGATTTCTGTCCATTTTTGTTACCAAATATGTTCATTGAGAATCCCCCATTCCAGTTATGTGTCCCTTTTCAGAATTATAATATGACTAGTGAATCACGTCCAGAATAGCAATCCATTTTCTTTGAATTATAATATGAGTACTGGTGAATCACATCTGGGATATTCTCATCATCATCATCCCAACTATATGGGGTCGGCTACATGAATCCTGTTTTGCCATTCCATTCTGGATAATCTGAAAATTCAAAATCTCATGTTTAGTTTAGCACTGATATCCAAATATCTCACTATATTGGTGATATGAAGGGAAAATGATTTCAATGATATTTTTATTGGCCCTTAGAGAATAGCTAGATTTTGGTGAAATTTCACCAAATATTGCTGAATTGAGAACCATGGTTATGACACATTTATGGTCAGATATTTTGTATAATTTATTCAATTAGCATTTATTTATTTTTTGGCTGGTATTGTTGAAAAATAACTTCTTCACTTTTGCATGGCATTAGATATTTTTGGCTAGCATTGCTACGCCCATAGTTTCTGATTTTTTTACTTTATACAGGCACACAGTTACAAACTTCCTTATCTCCTTGAAGGTTGTCCTTATCTCCTTGATCAGCCTTTTTGCCTCCATTGCATGCCTGTGTAGCCATTGACCTGCACTATTTTACTTGCACCATCCCTCTATCACTATGACATAGTTTCTGCTTTTTACTTTATACAGACACACAGTTACAAACTTCCCCCCGGAAGTCACTCCCCAATAGAGAGTGATCTCTGTTACTCCTCTTCCCAGATTATCCAGCCATACCTTTGGCTGACTTATGTCTCAATATGAAGGTTGCCCTTATCTCCTTGATCAGCCTTTTTACCTCCATTGCATGCCTGTGTAACCATTGACCTGCACTATTTTGCTTGCATCATCCCACTATTATTATGGAATCCCTTTCCACCACTAGATTGGTAACTTTGACCTTTAACAACTGTAGAATTCTATAAAGACACAGTTCTACTTGATGAATAGGTTGGTGTAGTAGCATGAAAGATGGTTGATTTATATCTTCTCTTTGTTATTTCACATCATTCTAAGGAACTATAGCTGTTTATTTCCAGGAAATTGGGAAGTCAATGCTGAAAATATACAGAATAAGTTATATGCCCCAGCATCATCAAATTTTTGGAATGCTCAGGTCTTTAAGATGGGCTTGGAGAATTGTCCTCAGGAGGAAAAAGTTGAAGGAAAAGAACTTGGAACACATAAAAAATCCAAAGGGGAACTGCCAGTAATATCTCAAAATATATACTGCTTTTTCATATCATGACTGGTTGAGTTTTAGAATTTATTTTCTCTTCCATGTTAAGCAAAAATTTCACCTCATGACTGCTAGAGAGATTTCCTTTCAGGCTTTATTGAGAATGGGAATCTTGACTAGGGCCTTCTTATTTGTTCCCCTTGAATTCTTTGTTTGTAATTTTCCCTTTTGGTTTATCATGGATGGGTTGTTATATTTGTTTATTATTCCTTCTCCCTCACCTTTATTTTCCAACAAAAATTTGTTTCCCATGAAAAAAAAAATCCTAACTCTTCTGTTCTTGTAATGAATATAGGTTTGATATTTTTATATTATAGGTGCTGTTCTCTTGAAGAAAACCTTATAATTTTCTTGCATTGAATATAGACAAATTTCTATATGCAGTCTGTCTCTATATATTTTCTGAGAGGAATGCCTAGGATATATATATTTTTTGATAACTGATGAATTTTATCCAAAAAAGGGAGAGATTCCTTCAGAAACATATAAAAGAGTACATTATTCAATAGAGACAACTAGAAAACAGGAAAGTAAGAGGGCAAAGTATCCTGCACTACACCACAATACAATACAAAACTCAACTCAACTAAGCCTTGTTCTAACTATATGGTATTATGGGGTTGGTTACATGAACCCTGTTCTGTCATTCCGCTCTGTTCAGTGCCATATCCATTGCTAAGTTAATGGACCCTTAAATCATTTCTCACTACTTCAACCCATGTCCTTTTTTTTGATGAATTTCAACCCATGTTTTTTTTGTTCTGCCCCTTCATCTGTGTGATTAAAACCATCGTAGTCCATTGTCCTTCATTTTATCAACTGTTTGGTAATCCTAGGTTCCTTAAAATAACTTAATCTGATCCCATATTTTGTATTTTCCCTACTTATCCATCTCAACATTTGCATTTCTGCTATGCTCATTTTTGGACTTGTAACCATTTTATAAAATTTCGTTTTATCCCAAGCAATATTCTCCTATCACATAGGACTCGGGATACAAAAGAGGGATCTAACATGATGCAAAAGAGGGATAAAAAATTATAGTCCCGTTGTCTTCTAAGGTGATCTAATGTGATACCCTCAAAGGCTCAAACTCCTTCAGGATAGCAACCCACTGTCTGAGAGTGCCTTCTACTTTGCCAATGATAGAATCCATTAGAGCACATTTACTTTCAAACGTAACAAATGAGCAGGTTATTCTTGATAAGTTCAAACTTTATTATTAAAATATCTAAATTTACTATTTTTATTTTGCCATTAATCCTAAATTCTTAATAAATTTTAGTAAACCTTTTCAATTTTGTAAGTCTTGATGAGTTTCAGAAACCTCCCAAGTCATACATTGTTTCCAACTTGGAGTTTTATCAGAAATTCAGTATTAAGAATCTCTTTATTGCTCAAAGTACTAAGAATATTTCTTTATTTAGATGTTCTTGTTGGTTGGTACAATGAAAATTTATTACCTGCAAAGCGAGTATTAGTACAGGCAACATGTTTTCTCTGCATTAGATAAGACAAGATTAAACCTCAGAAACATAATGGCGACATACAATACAAGCTAATTAGCAAAAGAATTGGCAAATCTTGGCACCCATCTGAATGGGATATTCATTTTGGATGATAGAGACCTAGTCTCTCTGAAGGTTTCTTTCCACTTCAGCATAAGATAGACTCATGGAGACTAGCAGTCAAAGTTTGTTTATTTCTACAAATGCAACACAATGTTATGATTGGAAAGTTTTTGAGAACTGAAATAATGCTTATTCTTTGTGGGTTTATGTTCTTTATCAGTAAATGATCAGATATTTTATTCACAAAGAATTGTAGAGAGATTGGGCCAAATGGGCCTTAGTTTGGTGGCTGAATGGGCCTTGCTTTAGTTCAACTGTTTATTATTTATTTATGCTGTAATGGACTGTCTTTATGGGCCCTTAACACATTTAGTTCTTATGTTTATTGGGTCAGCCGCCTAACCAGGGGCATCCATGTAATTTTTCCTTAAATTAATCCAGCACATATATAAAAAGACTAAGGGAGTGAGAGAGGGGCACTTTTTCTCTTCTCTTCTCTTCCTCTTTTCTTCCAACTTCTTCTTTCTCTTGAACAGCTCTTTGTCTCTTCTTCCTTCTTATTTTTCTTGTTGTACAAGTAGGAAATTCTTGGATTGGTTTTCTTCTAGAATAAAATATGAAATACACAAGAATGAGGACAGAGCCCTCCCTAGGGATGTTAATGGTTGGGTTTGGTATGATTTTGCCTCAACTGAGACAATCTTGCCTTGATTCGTGAACAATATCCTTGTTTTTAGTGAAGGCTATCTTTACAGATTCTTCAATGTCACTAGTCACTATGTTTAAGGTTTAAAGTATTGATACACCCAAGTGTATTGGTAGGGGTGGGTGTATTGATACTTTTTACGCCACGATTTTTATATTTTTTAGTTTTTTCAAAGTTTCATTTTTACACATATTTTTGTATTGTTTAATCAATAAAAATATTGATTTCCTGAAAGCACCTTTAAATAGGTATATCGGAAACCCAAAGATATGATATGATATGCCTGACATGGGGTGTATCGTATCAATACTTTGAACCTTGACTATGTTATCTATTATAGAAAATTCACACACATTTCAATGTAACTATTTGTAACCTATTGTTTATTCAAGAAAGTTTCATGATAAACATTGTTTCAAGAGGGAGAGGGGGTTCAGTGTGGTACTGCACTATTCAAACGCCCCCTGTGGGTGATTCGAGCATATCACCAAAATACCAAAAACAAAATAAATACATAAAACCTGAAATAAAGGGTCACATGACATAACCATCTACATGACTTCTCTATATATAGGGGTCTGGGGTTAGCAAAACCCTAACTCAGCCTGATCTATTGGGGGTTAGACCCATTTAGTCCTAATCCAATGGGATCTACCTTTTGGATGCTTTACTTTATCAATCATTGGCGTGCTAACTTAGTAATCCCAACCAAGTTACATCCCCTCTTGTAATGTATCCTAGATAAAACTTTTGCATGCTCATCTTGGTCATTTGTCCTTTAAGATCGTGAAAGTCGTATGCAGAGTTTTTTAAGTTAGTGTCTGTAGAGAACACTGATGTGGGGCCCACAACTGTGGTCCCCACTGTGTTCGTAGGACAGTATGTGTAATTATTTGTTTCAGTCATGGTAGTGTCAGTTGGTGGTTAGTTTGTTATTTCAGTTGTTATTTATTTCAGTTTTTATTTGCTTTATTTGTCATGTAAGTACTGAGGGTAGATCTGTCCTTTCCCCTATGTACTGAACATAACCTATAAATACTAAGAGAGTGGCGGCGGCAGATGATTAGAATMTGTCCTTTCTTTCAAACCTTTGTGTTCTCCAGTTCTTCTCCTCTCTTTTCTTTCTTTCTCTTTTCTTAATCTGAAATCTATTAGGGTTCAAGGCTGATTGTTGCCTTGATCGTCTACTGTGTCCATTATGGATTTGCAATGTGAGGTTTGTTAGTTGGAAAAGCACTATTGATTAAATTATTACTAGTGTTGAGATTCAGCAGTTTTTTGTTTCTTTTTTTTAGTATCATTAGTTAGTGTTTTTGGGCCCAAGACCAATTAGCTTATGTTAACTTTAAGACTGTTTTTATGCTATTAGCAGAAGCTGCCCTATTAAGGGCATATTAGTCATTGTAATCTCTTTTATTTCATGAGTATATAAGATACTGAGTGGGGCTGCCAGATCATTATTGGCATCTCCCATTTCTTCTTCCTTCTCTTTATCCTATTCTCTTTTCTCCAAGAAACTCTTTTCTCTCTTTCTTTTATTACTGTTCTCAAATCAGATTATAATTCTGAACTGTCTACTTGGTATTAGTGCTACTTTCTAAGTTTTTTTGAGTTTTCTACCATGCAACCCTAGATCAGCCAACTGCATAGTGAGTTAGAGAGCTGATAGAAGACTTTAAAAGGGCCCAGTTTTTGGAAGAGTCCTGATTACAGTAGGACTCTTTATTTTTTATTTAAGAAGAGGCGCTCAAGCTTTTCTAGATTCCTTGGTGTTTTCTAAATGGGGCGGTTCAGTTTTTGGTGTTTTCTGAGGTCTCTGGAGGGAGCGACAGCCTTTTCTCTTATTTTTACCAGGTCCCAAGAAGCTAGGAATCTCTCTGGGTAAAGGTTTCTAGGTGCTAGAAGTTTAGTTAAGGCAAAGGGGGTCAATCTATTTTTTCTAGTCTACAATTGATTTTTTAATCTGTTTTGGGAATTATGAAGGGCAGCGGAGTGGAATACAAGTCTATCGGTTAAATGGGACTAGGTGTAGGAGGTACTAGTGATCCTTTTGAGGCAGGTACTATCACTACAGTTAAGTTGAATGGTACAAATTATTTGGAGTAGTCACAATTAGCCAAAATGGCAATTGGTGCTTGTGGAAAATTGGGGTATGTAATTGGTGAAGAGAAGAAACATGAGACCAACCCACCCCACTTCCCGTTCCAACTCCTTTACCTACTCCTGTGTCTATACCTAGGAATGTTAGTGAGGCTCTCTCCAAACCTGAGTGGAGGACAACTACGCAGGAGGAAATGAAAGCCTTGATTAAAAATTAGACATGAGAAGTTGTGGATCTACCTGATAGTAAGGAGACGGTTGTAGATGGGTCTATACTGTGAAGTATAGGGTTGATGGAAGCATAGAAAGGTACAAGGCAAGGCTGCTTGCAAAATGGTATACTTAGACTTATAGAATAGGCTACTTGGAGACTTTTGCACCGGTGGCCAAAATGAGTTTAATCTAGATTCTATTGTCTTTAGTAGTTATCTACTCTTGGCCTCTCTTTCATCTCGATGTGAAGAATGCCTTTCTCAATGGAGATTTGTAGGAAGAGGTGTATATGAACCTTCCAATTAGTTTTTATGGTGATGTAGGCAAAGGAAAGATATGCTAATAAGAGAAGTCCTTATTATGGATTGAAACAATTACCT